GTACCTGCCACAATCGAGGACCCCAAAGCCCACTCCTAAATGAGTGAAGAGTTTACTGTCTTATTCAACCACAGACCAAGACTTTTCCCCTCCATATCCCTGGTACATCAGAGTATATATACTCAAAAGTATATCTACTCAAAAGTACACGTGGATTTTCCAAAGTGACGAAGTCAGAACAAAGTCTGTGGGGAAACAGCAGAGTATTTATCAAATTAAAATGAAATAGACAGGGAAACAGCCACATTATGTTAAGTAGAAAAAACAAATCTTCCCTCTTTTATGCAAGTATGCATAGAAAAACATCTAGAAGGAAATGTTACATGTTAATAAATCACCTCTGTATTTTCAAAATTTTCAGCAATTATCGTGTAGAGAAAATGGTAACATTATTTAGGTAATTGATTGGCTTTGAGTTTCTGGTTGGGCAGTAGGGCCCAGCTCTTACCAAGATGGACCATCATTCACAAGGGTATCCTCCTAGAGTCTCTTTCAATAATTCTCTCTGTGACTATCAACAGACGGGCCAATGCGGTCTTTGTCTTGAGTTTTGTAGATGCTTACTGGCAGCAGCTAGCTTTTCAAGACTGCGATGAGTTGAGGGCCAGGGTAACTAATTACTTTTGCACTGACCTAATAGCTTATCTCCAAGGTGGCTGCCATCCATTTCTTCCCTATTCATGTACGCATGCATGCATGCATGCCTGCACACACGCACACATACACACACACACACACATGCACACACACATCAAACTCCATCTAAGAGGTGAGTCTATTCCTTCCCTCCCCTTGAATTTGGGCTGGTCTAGTGATTGATATAACAGTAGAATGCAATGGAAATGATATCCTGAGACTTCCAAGGCTAGATCATGAGATGCTTTGTAGCTGCCATGTTGTGAGGAAGTACAAGCAAGCAACTCCCAGGGCCCCTGGACCACCAAGCACCAGACAGAGGAGTGAAGATGCCCGCTTGGCGGTGGATCCTCCACCTGCAGCTGTTCCAGCTAATGTCACGTGGAGCAGAGACAAACTACCCACAACTTCCTGACCCATAAAACCACAAACTATGAAAAAATAGTTATTTCGTGACACTGGGGTTTGAGACAGTTTGATGTGTAGTAGTAATAGTCAACCCGGACACTCACCGACCATTCACTGTGGTCTCAGTTGCACACTCCTCAGCTCTTGTGTGCTATCCATGGGGTTTTTTTTTCTGACTTTCCACTTGTCTTTGTTTCCATTTAAAAAAAACAGATTCAAACTGTTTTATTAATTTAAAAAAATTAATTTTTATTTCAAAAAAATACTTTCAAACTGTTTTATTAATTTAAAAAAATTAATTTTTTTTTCAAAAAAATACTTTTTTTTTTTTAACCTAACTCTTTACAAAAGAATATAGTCCCAGGTCATTTCCCAGTTCCTGGGTTTATCAGACCAGAAGCTCCTTTTGGCTGAGATTCTGTCTTACGGGGGTACTGTGACCCCTCCAACTGGAGGGAGTCTTGGCTATTTTGGTGTTCAGAGCCCTCATTTCCTAGTTGAGGCCGCAAGAGGGGCTGTGACTTCTCTGAGATCACCCAGCAATTTAGGGGCAAAATAATCACACACTGAAAACCATGTCAGTGGGAACCATGGCCCATGGGATCAGACATTGATGTCCTAAAGCAGAGACACTCTCCTGACAAAGGCAGGGACAGCTTTCAAGCATCTGACTCGAACCTGTGGAGGGCAGGCATTGTGACCCAGTGGAAAGAGAACTGTGCCAGGATCCGGCCCTCACTGCTCATTAGAATTATATTACACTTACCTATGCCTGCCTCACCCCAGAGATTTTGATTTAAATCATCTATACCGAGGCCTAAACAGGACTGATTTGAAAAAACTTTTTATTAAAGTTCAATATACCCACAAAAAGTGCAACTTTCACAAATGTATAGCCCAGTACATTTTCACAGACTGGACACACCCAACATCTGAATCAAAAGTAGAATATTACAAGCACCCAGCCTCGCCCCCCACCACCTCCTGCCAGGGGTGACCACTCTCCTGAGTGCTAGCAGGACAGGTTGCTTTGAACTTCCTGTGAATGAAATCACTGTGTCTCCTTTCATTCAACGCACATTGGGACACCTGCCCATATTATTTCATGGAGCTGTAGATTGTCATTTTCATTGCTGTGTAGTATTCCATGCTATGAATATATCACAATTTATTCATTCTACTGATGATGGACATCCGGGTGGTTCCCAGTTTTAGCAGATGATGAGGAGTGTACCTATGAACATTCTAGTACGTTTCTTTTGGTGAATATTCATACTCATTTCTCTTGGGTATACACCTAGGATGGGGATCACTGGGTCAGAGTTTAGGCCTTCATTTAACTTGAGTAAAACTGTCACATGGCTTTCCAAAGTTGTTGTATCAGTTTGTACTGCCATCAACCATGCATAAGAGTTCCAGTCACGCCATATCCTTACCAGCACTTCGTGGTTTCCGTCTTTTTTTTTTTTTTTTTTTTTTTTTGAGATGGAGTCCTGCTCTGTCGCCCAGGCTGAAGTACAGTAGTACGATTTCAGCTCACTTCAACCTCTGCCTCCCGGGTTCAAGCGATTCTCTTGCCTCAGCCTCCCAAGTAGCTGAGATTACAGGCACCCACCACCATGCCTGGCTATTATTTTTGTATTTTTAGTAAAGATGGGATTTTGCCACGTTGGCCAGGCTGGTCTCAAACTCCTGGCCTCAGGTCATCTGCCTGCCTCGGCTTCCCAATGTGCTGGGGTTATAGGCGTGAGCCACCTCGCCCGGCCTCCATCTTTCTAATATTATCCATTTTGATGGGCATCAGTGGCGTCTTGTTGAAGTTTTAATCTGCATGTCCCTGATGACAAATCACAGGGAGCATTTGAGCAGCCCTGGCCTCAGTGATCTCTGGAGCCTCTCCAGGGTCCCTAACCTTGCACAAGGCCCACAGGCCATCCTGGGAACAGCCCTCCAGGGAGGGTTTTTGTGGGGAAACAAAGGGAATAGAAGGGGAATAAAAATGTAGAGGCAGAAACTATGCAACTGGTCAACCTGGAAGAGAATGGGAAGAAGAATGTGGCCGTCACAGGAAAGGCCCAGGGCGTGCTCTTGGCGCCAAGGTGGGTTTCACTCTCCCAAACCTAAATAGAATCTGCCCTCCCTTAATCTCTACCCCATCACCTGGCAGTATTCCCTGCTTACCTATCCTATAATGTATCTGTCACGTGTGTATTGCCTGTTTCTCCCATCTGGAATACTTTGTCTTTCTGTTCACAGCCGTGTGTCAGTGCCTGTAGCAGTGCCTGACACATAAGAGATGCTCATTACATAACTGTTGGAAGTGCGTGCCCAAACTCAAGCCTACAGCTGCTGGGGCAGAATTGGGAAGGGCCTTGGTTCTGCCTGCCAGCCCGAGCCTAGCCGTTGGCTACAAACACACACACACACACACACACACACACACACACACACATACCCCTTAGGTCTCTCCCTTCCAGACATCCCTCTCTGTTTATTTCAGCCTGAATGCCCAAGAATAAAGGGGTGTGCATGTGTGGATTAGAGAGGCAGTTTGCAGGGCCCCATTCCTAGTTGGGACTAGGGGGAATCAAGACCAGCACATATTTCTATGACAGTGACACCTCTTCCAGAAGGAGGGAAGGAGAGAATGGAGGAGGAAGAGCCAGCAGAGAGCCCCCTGGGAGCTGAGCTGTGAGTCAGTGCCAAGGCCTGGGTGGACTCCAACCCAGCAATGGAACATCATCTACTAAAATAAGCACCCCTGCAGTCCTGGCGTCCTGGCTCCCAACCCTGGCTGCCTCTTGATAGCAGTTTATTTTGTTTTGAAATAACCAAGCTGAAGAGGAACAGACAAGAGTCTGACCCTCACCCTGGGCAGTGTTCTGAAGGGGGATGGGCAGAGGGCAGACAGCAGGGCATGGGGGAGGGCAGACAAAGTCCCCAAACCCTGGGAGGGAGGAAGGAGTGTAAGTGGAAGGGGAGGAGAGGATCCAGGGGAAGAGTAAGATGTTCTCTCTTCCTTCTTTAAAATGGGCCTTTGCTCTGGAGCAATCAGGAACCAGCCCCCAGCTTACCTCCCAGCTCACAGGGCCAACCTAGGTCCGAGGGAGAGAAAACAGTGTTCCCCATTTATCGAGAGAAGAATGAGGGCAGAACCCACATGCCTCAGATGGGAGAAAAGGGGCAGGGCAGCCTCCCAGTCTACGGCACTCTACATGTAGGGGGATACCTACGAGGGTGAAGCTCCACCACTCAGCAATGTTCCCTAGGGCCCAGTGAACGGCTGCCTGCAGTCGGCTCAAGGTGGGGTTGAAGGCTTCCCCTCCTGTGCCTCCTGCTCTACCCAGGGCCTACGAGGCCTAACCCTGGCCCAGTTCTCTCCAACACCCACATGCATGCAGTGGGGGCACCGGTGGGATCTAATAAAAGTGTCATCCAGGTGAGCAGATCTGAGGAGCAAAGTCCATTGCGGGCACTGGGTTGTTTGCAGCTGGCTGGGGGTTTCCTTCAGGCAAGAGTGGCCAAGACAGATGAATGGGACGGAAAGAATGGGCAGAGCTGTGACCTCAGCCTTCCTTGCAAGACCCTGCCGTAAACTCCAACCCTCGTACAAATCTCCAGCCGTCTTTGATTGGTAAGCTGGTAAGCTGTCTGATTTAGCCACTATCCCTTCCCATTCCGGCCCTTGGTATGGACCCCTCCATAGCAGAAGCCCTGGTCCGTGGAGCCCAGGACTGTCTCTCAGGAATATCTTGTCCTTGGTGGGAGTGCCTAGCTGGTTCTGGGCCTGGTAGGGGCCAGGCTTCCCACTTGGAGGTGCACGTGGCCAGCCCCATGTAGATAGTGTCTTCCTTGTTGAAGATGCCACCCATGTGCAATCCAAGTTAGCACCTCCCCATCCAGTCTCCCAGGCACTGGAGTCAGATGATCCCAGCCCATTCCTTGATTGCTGTGGGCTCCCGGCTATATCCCTGCAACTCTCTGGATTCAGCTTCCTCCTCTGAAAATGGGTGAGTAATGACTCCTTTCTCTCATGGTTGTTAGGGGGATGAAATGAGATCCTGTGACTCAGTACTAGACACCCACCAATCATACCTCTTCCTCCCCACCTGCCACCTTCAGGATGTGGGCTGCACTTCCCTGGAGGCTGCTGCCTCTACTCTCTAGCCAAGTCACTTAACCCTCTCCAGGGCTCAATCTTATCCTGCTTGAATCATCCTTGAGAACTCTGAGACAAAATTAAACCCTGAGTGGCCCAGGGGCCCAAGTTAGCTGCTGGGAACAGGTTTTCCATGAGCTGAGCTCTGTGGTGCCTTTCAGCTGAGGGGAAAGGCCTCTCCACATGAGGCTAGAGTGCAGCAGCCCAGCCTCCCTCCTGGGGATGTTCTGTGGCTGGGTCGGACCCTATGCGCCCACCTGGTTGCAACAGCTCCAGGCCACGTGGGCAGAGCAGAGGTCAGACCAGTCTCCTCCAGCACTAACTGTGGTTAGTGGAGGGGAAGGAGAGTGCCTCGTGGACACAGTCCCTGGCCCAGCCATTCTGGAGCCTGAGCTTGCAGGGAGCAAAACGAGTCACCTGCTCCAGACAGGCAGCTGTCACCCATTAGGCACTGGTCTGGGGGTGGGGCACCAGCTGGAGGGTAACTGCTCTCAGCTTTGCCTTTCACCCTAGGCCTTTCTCCCCAGGTGTATTAGTCTATTCTCATGCTTCTATGAGGGAATACCCAAGATTGGGTAATTTATAAAGGAAAGAGGTTTCATTGACTCACAGTTCAACATGGTTGGGGAGGCCTCAGGAAACTTACAATCATGGTGGAAAGTGAAGGGGAAGCAAAGACCTTCTTCACATGACGGCAGGAGAGAGAATGAGTGCCCAGTGAAGAAAGAAGCCCTTTATAAAACCATCAGATCTCATGAGAACTAACTCACTATCATGAGAGCAGGACAGAGGAAACTGCTCCATGATACAATGTTCTCCAGCCATCCCTCCCATGACACGTGGGGATTATGGGAACTGTAATTCAAGATGAGATTTGGGTGGGGACACAGATAAGCCATATCACCAGGGAATCCCAAGTGACCAGTGAAGTGCATGGCAGAGGTGTCAGCCAGACCCTTGGTGAGGAATTTTGGTGTGAGGCAGGGCTGGGATGCAGGGTGGGTCAGGGACCCTCATGACCTGCAGGTGGGCCACCGCCTGTCCTCGTCCCCAATGGTAGGAAGGGATGGGGCAGGGGACGTCCATTTGCCAGCCCTCTCCTGGGATCTGGGCACTGCAGGGCCACCCTGCGAGGGAGGCCTTATCATCCTGATGTTACGGATGAGGAGCTGAGGCCCTCGTGAGACTTGCCTGGACTCAGTGACAGCTAGATCTCCAGCCACCCAGCCTCTGTCCTGCAGAGGACTGAAAGATCAGAACAGCCAAGAATGTCAGATCGGCAAGCTCCTTGCAGTTCATTCTCCAACATCCTTTTCCTGAGCAAAGAGGAAGCAAGGTGGAGAATAAGAGAGGCTTGTCAAGCCTTTGTCGGAGTCACAGCTTCTAGAAACCCACCGAATGCTTTTCCATAGCTTCCTCCCATGATATTCACATCAGACCATAGACCTGAAATCCACATTGTGGGGCAAATTGGCAGGAACCTCACCACACTGGAGGAGGATGAGCCCAGATGTTAGGCTGGAATTCCTCATGGGCACATTCAAGATGCCTGCTACCCGCTGGAGACTCCCAGGAATGCCTAGGGGTGAGGAGATTGTGGTCTGCAATGTATCACAAACCTCAAGAAGGAGCCGGGGGTTTCAAGCCCAGGCAACTCAGGTGTCAATGTAATTGTGCCTCTTTGTTCCCAGACACAGGGGCCACCCCCAGCACAGACTCGCTGGCGAGGTGACTGCCCCAGGTCCCTCTGCAGGGCCCGTGGCTGAGAGTTTAGAATCTGGAGTCATCCGCCAGCTCAACCACTTGCTAGCTGTGTGACCTTGCAAAGTCTATTTAACTTCTCTGCCTTGGTTTCCTGATAATCACTGTAGGGAGGAGGAGAACAATAATATCCATAGCTCACAGGAAGTTTGCAAAGATTAAATTATTTGACATAGTACCCCCAAGCATTCTGTGTATATATGTGTGTATGTGTATATGTATACACGCATATATATGATATGTGTCTATATATTAATATAACATACACAGAATATATAATACAAGTTATATATAATTTATACATAGTATATTTATATATGTAAATATCCCTTAGATTAAAGACTTAGAAATGTTAGAAGTTGTTATTAGCTTAAACTTCCTGGCAGAGACAGAGGGGATGGTGGTTGGCTGGGGACAGTGGTTCCTAACTGGGGACAATTCCTGAAGATATTTTGAGTTGCCACAACTTGGGGAAAGAGGAGGGTGCTTTTGGCACCTAGTGGGCAGAGGCCAGAGATGCTGCTAAACATCCTACAGTGAACCAGTCAGGACCCATGCCCGCCCCAGCCCCCCATAAAATTAGGCTCAAATGTCCACAGTGCCATGGGGAGGAAGCCTGGCTGAAGAGCAGGGGTAGTGGGAAGTGGCTCTTAGGAAGGAGAATGGGCCCATGCTGAGCTGACAAAGGGGTGGCTTTGGATTTTGGGAATAGCTGCCACCAGGAGAACTGAGCGGATTTCCAACACCTTGTGACTATGGGATGGCTCACTGAATGGGGCTCATAAAGCAGCTCTGGAGGTCACCAGCAGGCACACGTGGCTGTGGGTTGAGCAGCACAGGATGAACGGCCACAGTGACCACGTGCAGATTGGGGGGTCCTCCTTTAAGCAGAAAGGGGGGCCCTAGATGGGTCTCAGCCCTACTTGTAGCTGGTGCATTCAGACAGACAGACAGACACACACACACACACACACACACACACACACAGATGGTGCTTAGCTGACAGTATACCACACACACACAGTTTACATTATCTAAGTGAAAAGGTGGATTTAACCCACCAGTTAGTAGATAGTAGGCAAATGAACTAGTCTTTTTTTTGAGACCGAGTCTCCCTCTGTTGTCCAGGCTAGAGTGTACTGAACGGCATGATCTTGGCTCACGGCAACCTCCACCTCTCGGGTTCAAGCAATTCTCCTGCTTCAGCCTCGTGAATAGCTGGGATTACAGGCATCTGCCAACATGCCTGGCTAATTTTTGTATTTTTAGTAGAGACAGGATTTCACCATGTTGGCCAGGCTGGTCTTGAACACCTGACCTCAGGTAATCTGCCGACCTCAGGTAATCTGCCCACCTCAGGTAATCTGCCCACCTCAGCCTCCTGAAGTTCTGGGATTACAGGCGTGAACCACCGCACCTGGCTGGACTGGTCTTATGCAAGTACAAAGTACCTGTTGAAGTCTCCTGTTTTTACAGACACAGCGTTCTGTCTCTTTCTTGGTGCACATGCGTGCAGGTGCATGTGTGGATCCTCTGTGTGCACGTATGAGCACATGTGAGACATGTAAGCTAACAACTCGACAGGCATGCGAGGCACCTGACACGTTGGAAAGGACTTGGGCTTACCCACCAGTGTGCTGCTCTTCAACCTTCTTGAAAGTTCTGAGCCTATGCAAACCTTTCCCCTCTCCAGAGCCCTGAGAAACGGAGGATGGGTGTGCAGTGTGGCACTCTTAGGAATACAGGCCTTCTGCACCCTGAGTGCCTCTGAAACCAGATGAGCAACTGGAAGTTGCTGCATCCGCCAATCTTTTTTCTCTGAGAAGAAAAATTCTAATTGTAAATCAGTTGGAATTTAAATCAAGCCTACCTAAATATTTTCAAAAACAGAAATTAAAAAATGGGATAATTATTTTGGAAGTTTGTGAATCCTGAGATTCAACCTCCTATCCCACATCATTTCAAAATAATTGGTTGTTGGAAAAAATTCAGCTTCCAGGCAGGGTGGCTCATGCCTGTAATCCCAACACTTAGGGAGGCCAAGGCAGGCAGAGTTTGAGACCAGCTTGAGCAACCTGGTGAAACTCCGTCTCTACAAAAAATACAAAAATTAGCTGGGCATGGTAGCATGCACCTGTAGTCCCAGCTACTCGGGAGGCTGAGGTGGAAGGATCAGTTGAGCCCAGGAGGCGGAGGTTGCAGTGAGCTGAAATTGCGCCACTGCACTCCAGCCTGGGTGGCACACTGAGACCCTGTCTCAAAGAAAAAGGAAAAAAGAATTCAGTTAACATACATGTTGGCTGCTGTCATACACACTCATGCACACGCATGGTCTTCCACACACCCGGTAAGGTAACCATCCAGGAAGATCAGGGCCCCGTGGTGTGAACTGACGCTGAGTGAGGAAGGCATGAAAAGAACAGGCACGTGATGTGGGTGTTTTTCACGGTCCAGAGTGGCCACCTCTACTTCACAGCTAAGAAGGAAGCACAGAGCCTTGAAAACGCGTTTCTAGGTTCGCTCCGTGAATGCAGGGTCCAGATGTTAAGTTTCTTTCTGCCTTTCCTTTCCCTTTCTCCCTTACTTCCCACTTTTCCTGATACCACTGAAGCTGGCCACATCCCCTCCAAACTGCACTGTCATAGCTCCTGGCCTGGCCCCTGAAGAGCGTGTGACTTGGGCAGTCACACCGGGTGCCTGCTGACAGCCGGGCTATGCCCTGAGGGTGGATGTGCTGCAGCCCAGAGGGGCTGCCAGCCCCGGGCTCCCGGGACGAGTGCTGACTGGACGCTGCTGCTGGGCCTGCCCAGGGCCCTCCTGGTGGTCCAGCTGGCCTCTCTGTCTTTGCCCTGCCCTCCAGGCCTCTGGCTTTATATTTCACAGCACTGCCTAGCCCAGTGGGATCAAATGTCTGCCGCACCACACGTCCTGGGAAAGGACTGTCGGGGCCTGCAGATGCTCTCCAGGCCGTGGCGCCCAGAGGTCCAGCTTCTGACCCAGGTGTGCCTGTCCAACCCAAGGGCTGCCGTGTCACCTTTTGGGAAAGGCTGGCCTGGAGAGAATCAAAGCAGGCTCCAGGCGATCGCATTT